CACACCTGGGGCATAGCTGTGGGTGCCTGAGGACACAGCTGGGCACACTTTGGGACACCTGGGCACAGCTGGGGCACACCTGGACACACCTGGGGCACACATGGGCCACACATGGGCACACCCGGGCACACTTGGGCACACCTGGGGACACTTGGGCACACCTGGGGACACTTGGGGCACACCTGGGGACACTTGGGCACACCCGGGCACACCCGGGGCAGGCTCGGGGCACAGGTCGCGACATAGGGGCGGGGTTGGGGGGGGGGAGGCGGGTCCTCCCGGCCGCCAGGGGGCGCCCGGCGGCGCGCGGCGGTGACGCAGTTCCGGCGCCGCCGTCAGAGGCGGCATGGCGGCGGCGGCGGGCAAGGCGCAGCGCTACGAGGCGTTCGTCAGCGACGTCCTGCAGCGGGACCTCAGGTGGGAGGCGGCGTGTCGCGACATCGCCGCGACATCGCCGCGGGGCTGCGGCCGCGCCCCCCCCGCCCCGGCCCCGCTCATTCATCAAACCCGCGGGCCGCGGCCACGCCCATTCCGCGGCCACGCCCCCCCGCGGGGTCGGCGCCCTGGCCACGCCCCCTCCCCATTAACGCCGCACTGCGGAATTCCCGCGCGCCCTGGCCACGCCCACGCGCGCCCTGGCCACGCCCACGCGCGCCCTGGCCACGCCCATCTAAGGGTCAGGGCGGGATTTCATTTCGCCTCGAGGCCACGCCCACTCTGAAGCCACGCCCCCAAAGCAAACCCCACCCATTCATCTTGAGGCCACGCCCATTTTGTGGCCACGCCCTCATCAGCCCCACCCATTCACAATGATGCCACGCCCACTTTATGGCCACGCCCTTGCATAAGTAATTTCCATTCAGCTTTAGGCCACGCCCATTTTATGGCCATGCCTTTGCATAAATTTTGCCTTTCACTTTGAGGCCACGCCCATTTTTGGCCACACCCCCATCAACCCCAACCCATTCACCACAAAGCCACGCCCATTCATGACCACACCCCTCCACATGATGACCACGCCCATTCACAAAAACCACGCCCACTCCCCCGCCCACCATTAACCTCGCGG